ATGGGGCCCCATGATTTCTAATAGTGGCCCTGGTTGGTGTTTATTGTGACATGTGAAGGATTTACCCTAGCAGACTTGTTAAGTTAAATGGTGTGTATGAAATGATGTGATTGTGAGCCGTAGCGCCTCCCCACCCCCCCCGTTTCATGTGGGATCGTTGTTTGTGACGTTCGATCTGCAGAGTCAATTCAGAGGCGCAGTCAGGAAGCAGACTGAGATGAAGTGAAAATATGCACATTATTTATTAACTGATTCTTTGTAATAAACCATTTGAAAATATTTTACAAGTAAATCACACACGCACAATATCTTACAAACTTTCTGTCACTTGTTGAACTTTTCTGTACAAATAAATAAGTAAATAAATAAACTTTTGCTCCAGTTAACGGAAAAAAGCCACTAACTTATGGAGAGAAATTTCAGCAGCGATGACCCTCGAGCCTCCAAGAGATATTTATATATATATTTATATATATTTATACGTATTTATATCTTAGCTGTTTTTTTAAATCTTTTTTTTTTTTTTTTCTTTTTTTTTTTTCCCCGGAATGGAGGATCTGACTAAAACGAGTGCGTACAGACGACTGCGCACACACAATCCCACCCCTCGTAGCACAGTCACGTTTCCCAAACAAGGCCCAAAAAACACACACGCAAAAAAAAGCTACGAGCAAAAATGACCAATAAAAGGGGGCTTGCTCATGGTTCCAATTCCCCGACCACACCCTCCCCCCCCCCCCCCCCCCGAGCTCCAGCAGAGGGCATCCCCCAGGGTGGGGGTCACTTGGTGAGGTGGCAATCGTGTGATAGGATGGGTGTCTGGAGCGCCAGTGGAGGCGGTTGAGATGGAGAGTGAATGGGACGTGACCTTTCGAAAGATCCAGAACCAGCCTAAGGCAGGAAGAGAGAGGATGGGAACGCAACTAAAAGCCTAGTAGATGGCTAGCAAAGTTTGGGCAAGAGGGCAATTGGCCACACCGGGTACATATACACTGGGCATTATGGGAACAAAAGCAGGCATGATGGTTCATCATGTGTGTAATAGTCTACAAAAACAAGTGACAGTGATGAGACACTTATATAGGTTCTCATATGGCCCTGGAAAAGGTCCACTCAGAGACGCCATTGTTGCGCCATATATAAAGCCTCTCTTTTTGGAGAACCAGTCCTGACATACCTGATGGTGGTTGATGTCATTGGTATATACATAATCGATATAATGGCCAAAAGCATGTGGACCCTCCTCCAAGTCAGAGTCTTGGTCTCTCCATTGAAGGGTTCTCCTAATACTCCATCATACAAAGACATTGTAGAACATTGTGTTCTTCCAACCTTGTGGTAACACTTTGGTGAAGACCCTTTTCTGTTCCACCATGTCTGTGCCCCTGTGTAAAAAGCCAGCTCCAAAAAAAAAACAGTTTCATGTGTAGGATCTCATGTATCCTGCACAAAGTCCTGTCCTCAACCCTACTGAACACCCTCCGGATGAATTGGAACACCCAATGTGAACCAGGTCTTCTCATCCAACATCGGAACCTGACCTCACAAATGGGCACTTATTCCCACAGACACCTTTCAAAATCTCATGAAAACCTTCCCAGAAGAGTGTGGGATGATATAAAGGGAGATACCTCCACATTGATGACCATGAGGAAAGTAGGGGAGTAACTGCATACTAAAGACCATGGTTTGGATTGGGATGCCCTACAAGCTCGTAGAGGTGTGATGGTCAGTTGTCCACAAACTGTTAGCCATATAGTATGCTTAAAATGCTCCTCAATTATTACTTTTGACAACAGTTGTGATGGGTTAAGTGTTAGGAATAAGACTTGTGACAAACCACAACAGTCATCCGTCATTTGCCCTCTTGCCCCCACCTTGCCAGGCCTCCATTCTAAATGCAACACAAAGGCGAAGGTCTGAAAACGAGGTCATGTTACTCTCCAAACATCTATATGCTTTATCTCCGATTGTACTTACAAGGAGCAGCACAGAAAATTATGAGCTCTGGAGGAGGGTTTTACTTCTGCTGGTAAAAGATGGCTGGACTGCCTGGGCATGCCATCAGTTGGGGTAAGATGGTGGAACTTCAGGTCCCTCAAATGCCAGAGAGGCTGAGTCATTCCAACTGCAGAGATCTGATCCAAGATTTACAAGGATGGAACACAAAAAGCGGACAGGGATGGACATCTGGAGGCTTCTACAGCTACATTTATCACTTACAGTTCCTTGGTTCACCTTGGCAAAGCCATAGGCAGCAGAAGAAGCCGCGTGCTTCCTTGGTGATCACCGCCTCCATGTTGTGCTGAAAGTTGTAGGTAACTAATATGTAGGACTTGTGCATGAGACGCTGGGCCACCCTACCTCGTGTGCTTGACGAGTCTGCTGTGCTTGTATAATGAGGCTGTGGTCTCTGAGCCACAAATGAGGTGTAGGAGCTCCATACCAAGATGGGGTAAAGCCCCTAGACTCGCTGAGTGATGCTGATTGTATGGAAAGTATGCGGTCTTAGAAGACGCGGTTGTGCTGACATTTTTTGTACACATTGTGCCCTTATTCCGTGGCACTGGTGGGAGCCTAAATACTTGTGTTTTCCACAATCAGAGGCGGTATTTCCATTAAAGGACAACTCCACCCAACATGGATTTCAGTTTTGTGCTGTTGCTGAAAAACTTACTGAATCCCGTGCTTCCTTCCACATTGTGCTCAGCTGCCACGGCCAATAGAAAGCCCAGTAATGGTGTCACTCTCCCCTCCCCTAATGGATTTCCCGTCATACAGAAAAAAATAATTAAATCTGGAAGCCAGGCTTGAAAGAGAGGGACCTTCATTATGGCTTCAGGGGAGGGGCAGGGACACAAAATACTAATGGAAATCTTGTTGTGGGAGGGGCAGAGATGCAAACTAGTGCAGGGAAATCTCCCCATTGTGGGAGGGGCAGAGACACAAACTACTGCAGGGAAATCTCCCCATTGTGGGAGGGGCAGAGACACAAAACTACTGAGGGAAATCTCCCCATTGTGGGAGGGGCAGAGACACAAACTACTGAGGGAAATCTCCCCATTGTGGGAGGGGCAGAGACACAAACTACTGAGGGAAATCTCCCCATTGTGGGAGGGGCAGAGACACAAACTACTGCAGGGAAATCTCATCATTGTGGGACGGGAGTGACATAAACTACTGAGGGAAATCTCCCCATTGTGGGAGGGGCTGAGACACAAACTACTGAGGGAAATCTCCCCTTTGAGGGAGGGGCAGAGGCACAAACTACTGAGGGAAATCTCCCCATTGTGGGAGGGGCAGAGACACAAACTACTGAGGGAAATCTCCCCATTGTGGGAGGGGCAGAGACAAACTACTGAGGGAAATCTCCCCATTGTGGGAGGGGCAGAGACACAAACTACTGAGGGAAATCTCCCCATTGTGATAATGGTAGAAATAAACTGTCCATAATGGTGAGAATTCCTAGCAATAGACAGGGAAATACAAAGCCCTGTGGGGAAATGTCACCATTGTGGGAGGGTCTGAGATACAAACTACTGAGGGAAATCTCCCCATTGTGGGAGGGTCTGAGACACAAACTACTGAGGGAAATCTCCCCATTGTGGGAGGAGCTGAGACACAAACTACAGCAGGAAATCTCCCCATTGTGATAACGGTAGAAACAAACTATTGCCAGGAATTCTCGCCATTATGGACAGACAGGGAAATACAAAGCCCTGTGGGGAAATGTCACCATTGTGGGAGGGTCTGAGACACAAAACTACTTTAGGGAAATCTCACCATTGTGGGGGAATTTGAGACAAAAACCACGGTGGGAAAATCTCACCATTATGGAAGGGTGAAAGTCGCAAACTCCTGCGGGGAAATTTTACCATTGTAGAAGGGGTGGAGATACAAACCACCTCCATTTCGGGCAGGATGGAGACACAATCTACTGCGGGAAGATCTCTCCATTTTGAGCGCGGCAGAAACGCAAACTTTTGCCACTGGAGTCACTGACAAATTTAAGATGTCGTTGGCTAATTTAATCCACCACTGCCCAACATAAACTGAAATATGAGATTTGGGCTGAGTTGGCCTTCAAAGAAAATGTAACATTGCACAGAAGTAAAGACATCCCAAGCCTGTTTCTTTGGTACAATACTGTACGGTCCTAAGATGTGACAGGGTTGTGCTTGAGGTTATGAAGCCCGGACAGAAAGAATAACACACCAATTATCTAACAAAGCTGCTTTTGGCACTCGCGTTGCATCAGAAGTGCAGTCCCCTAGAACCTAGCAAAGGATTCTGGGGAAAGCAATTCTCAAGCCAAAGGCGTGATAACATCTCCAGTCCATGAAAGTGTGTACAGGATGCTCAACACAGACTTCTTGCATGAACAACTTGGCAACCCAATGTGGAAACCTAATGCTTCTCACTTTTTGAATTTTCTTGTCTCCACCCCCCTCCTCCTAGTGACTTTGGCCCCATGCGTGATCCAATGGGGAGATGGACTTCCACTCGGTATGATGATGATATGAAGAAGCCATGATGACTTGATGATGGATGTACAGAATGCCGTTGCGATGTCAACTCTGACCGTTAGCGTGTTACTGGAGCTATACAGAAATATGGAGGCCAAGGTCAGAACATCACAGTGACGTGGTGACATCATCTCAGAGACCAGATGTGAAGACAGAAACGGGAAACCGACGAGACGGATGGACAGAAAACAAGAGATCCTAGAATTGGCCATGATGGACATGGCAGGAAGTTCTTGCCAACGAGTTAAGTGCTGCTACAAAGCCGTGATGCGGTTCTCCCGGTTGCCTTGGAAAAACTCCTGATGACGCTAAAAGGTCTCCTTGTTGTCACAGTAAGATCATCCATAACAAGTGGTGGTGGTGTCGTGGTAACTCAGCCCAAATGCGCTGGAGTGGCACTCGCCTGGTTGTCATGGTAACCACGTCACTAATCAAGAAGTGGCCTCAGGAAGGAGGGAGGAAGCAGGGACGGGTCTAGAGCCCCCTACCGGTGGTGGACGACGTCGAGCCGGAAACCAGGCACAGGAGAAGCGACTGTAGAAAGATCAGCAAGAGCCAAGACGGTCGAAACATGGAGCCTCTGCCGCAGTCTGACGTGTCCTCCTGGAGAGGAAAGAAAGGGAAGAGTTATCTGTCCCTCGGGAGACCCAGGTGAGACACTAAGCTGAATGTAAGATATGAGAGCCAATAAGAGTATACAAAAGAGCCCTTAAATGGTAAGAGCCAACGAAAGATGGAAATATGGGTCACATGATGGACAATAGCTCTAATTATGATCAATCACTTGAAGGATAGCCTAGTGTATTCATCCTATTGCCTTTGGAGGCAACCTATCTTTTAGGCGTACAGCAGTCCCGATGTAACGTTCATATCAATCATATGTACAAAGAGAAAATTCCAATAAAGTACCCTTGTTCAGAAATGTTGATTTGGTTTCAGTGCTTTAATGTCTGGTCACTTGGCCAATGCCGAGACACTAGTCATGTGCTCCTTTCTAAAGTAGAAGGCCAGTGATCAGAAAAGCCACCGAATGGCCAACGTCAACTGAGCATCAGTCCTCCAAACCCATAGCATTGGGTAGTTATGGAAATTCCACTGTTTCTGGTCATTTTTTAAAAAACTCTCATTCCCCGACAGATTCTTTAGAAAGACTCTTCATAACAAATGCGCCATTACCATCTGGTTGTAGTCGAAGCAGACATGAGGACCTTTTCGGTATCGAGGCATCTGAACCAGTTCGCACTGCTCCGGACCTTCCGCTGAGAGAGGAAGTTAAGGGACAACAAGAGTTATTTGGCGGATGTAACCCAAGATGACGTGAGCTTTCTTGCCAGCCAAGGAACTGGAGTGTCCTTCACAAAGCCTTGACCTCAACCCCTAAGAACACCTTTCAGATGAATGGGAATGCCAGTTGTGAGTCAGGTCTTTTTTTTGGTGCCCAAAGTGAGGCTCAATACGTGGGCCAGGTCTTCCCATCCTACGTTAGTATCTGACCTCACAAATGGGGACTCTTCAGGAAAGCCTTCACAGAAGAGAAGAGGATGTTATAAACCAAAACTAAGGGGACAAATCATATGAATGTGCATGGTCTTTGTTTGGTGCCTAATGTGAGGCTCAACATGTGAGCCAGGTCTTCCCATCCTACGTTAGTACCTGACCTCACAAATGGGGGCTCTTCAGGAAAGCCTTCACAGAAGAGAAGAGGATGTTATAGTCCACAACTAAGGGGACAAATCCATATGAATGCCCATGGTCTTTTTTTGGTGCCCAATGTGAGGATCAACATGTGGGCCAGGTCTTCCCATCCAATGTTAGTACCTGACCTCACAAATGGAGACTCTTCAGGAAAGCCTTCACAGAAGAGAAGAGGATGTTATAGTCCACAACTAAGGGGACAAATCCATATGAATGCCCATGGTCTTTGTTTGGTGCCTAATGTGAGGCTCAACATGTGGGCCAGGTCTTCCCATCCTACGTTAGTACCTGACCTCACAAATGGAGACTCTTCAGGAAAGCCTTCACAAAAGAGAAGAGGATGTTATAGTCCACCACTAAGGGGACAAATCCATGTGAATGCCCATGGTTTTGGAATGCGATGTCCAAATATTTTATATAGTTGTGACGATCAGAGTGTATGGTGGTATAGTCATGGAAACAGTGCTTCCAGGTACATGGAGTATGTTTGTGCTGGATATGGTTTTGTTCGATAATTCTAAAGGAAACTTTTATCTAGAACCAATTAAAGGCCACAATGGCTACATTACCATTGGGGGGAAAAAGGATGAAGACCTACAAAACTAGGAATGAAGACCACTGAAGTGCAGAAGTTTTTTAGAAACTCTATTGGCTCCTCTGAGCTTCAGTCAGCCACCCTTCTGAGTTTATAATGTCCTGCCATTGTTCAGTTCTGTGGATCAGATCCTTCGATCTCAGGACCTCATAAATCAGGAGTTCCAAACTCAATTGCATCATGGGCCGCATCAGCACTATGGTTGTCCTCGAAGGGCCGGTTGTATCTGTGAGATTAAATGTCCAGAGCATTCCACCTCCCTTACATCAGACATCAAGATCCCCCTCCCCCCAGCATCAGGAGTCCCCCACCCTCTCTTACATCTGAGAGTGCACCCCCATTACCTTGTGCTGCTCCAGGGAAGAAGTTGGGGGCGGAGTCTGGGAACAAAAAATGTAGGGTCTGGAGGAAGGCTGGAGTCTGCTGAATGCTGAGACCAGAGGAGGCTGAGACATGGGGATGCTGCGGCTGCACAGAGAGGATCGGGATATGTAGGAGGAGTTATGTCCTCTTTTCTGCTGCCGACTACTGAGACGGGGAGGTAGAGCCAAGCCTCTCCCTGGCTGCACAGAGAAGCGCAGGGTCTGGAGTAAGAGTTCTGTCCTCCTCTCTGCTGCTGACTGCTGAGACAGGGAGGTAGAGAAAAGCCTCTCCCTGGCTGCACAGAAAAGCACAGGATCTGGAGTAAGAGTTCTGTCCTCCTCTCTGCTGCTGACTGCTGAGACAGGGAGGTAGAGAAAAGCCTCTCCCTGGCTGCACAGAGAAGCGCAGGGTCTGGAGGAGGAGTTCTGTCCTCCTCTCTGCTGCCAACTGCTGAGACATAGGGGTAGAGATAAGCCTCTCAACAGCTGCACAGAAAAGCACAGGATCTGGAGGAGGAGTTCTGTCCTCATCTCTGCTGCTGACTGCTGAGACGAGGAGATAGAGACAAGCCTCTCTATGGCTGCACGGAGAAGCGCAGGGTCTGAAAGAAGAGTTCTGTCCTCCTCTCTGCTGCCGTATGCTGAGACACGGGGTACAGATAAGCCTCTCAATGGCTGCACAGAAAAACACAGGATCTGGAGGAGGAGTTCTGTCCTCCATTCTGCTGCTGACTGCTGAGAGAAGGTGGGAGCAGAGACGGGGGAGGGGATGCCGCAGCTGCAGGAGAGGTGCGAGGGCCACAATGAAACGGCTCGGTATGCCGGATTCGTCCGGAGGGCCTTGTGTTTGACACGTGTCACCAATGGTAGCGCAGATGTTGTAAGCAACTAACCACGCCTAGGGAACACGGCATGACATCATGGAGTACACGCGGGTCGGAGCACCCGTGTTGGGAACATTTTAGAAGCCAGATGCCATCTGCATTGTTTCCAGTGAGTGTCACCCGAGACCTCTCTGTTCCTGCTGCCTCATCCATCCCCCGCCGCACCCTAAACCGCGATTTGTAGACCCCGCTCCGACCCCCCAACCTCCGGCTTATCTCTTCTGGCTGCACTACTAATCCCCCAGGTTTGACTTTGACCCAAATTCCAGAACCAAAAGGATACACCGCGTCTCCGCTTGATCCAGCTTCATGATGTCACATTGGCTGCACATCAGCTTCTCCGCCACCACAAACAGCAGATTGGTGTTCGACAGTCGCTGGGCATGAAAGTATCTATTCAAAGGAGAGAAGAGAGGGCAGGCGGGTTATCAGGGGTGTATGACCGCCCCCTATAGATTGCACATGGTACAGTCCAATCTGACTCACCGGGAGCAGGGCCCGCAGTCAATGACCGCCGAGTACGTGGAGTTGATGTTGCTGAAGTAATACTGCGTCTGCTTCATTATACAGCTGGCCTCCCGTGGCTCCACCCCTTCCGCCATGATGTCATCTGCGGGGAGATACAAAATAAAGTCATTCCCTTGAAAGTTAAAAGACACAAAACCACTTGAGAAAAGATTACCCTCCAAATACAGAAAGGGTTCCTTACAGTAAGAGCTGTGAAAATGTAGACGGTCTTCCACAAACTCTACATACAGTTTCTAATAAGTGCTGAATGAGTTCCTACACACATCACATGCACCGGCGCACCTCGACTTACAAATGTAATGCGTTCTGCGGGATGTTTCGTATTGCGTAAAATTTGTAAACCGAAACACGGCTTCCCATAGAAATGCACTGAAAACCAATTAATCCGTTCCAGAGGTCAGAATAAAGTCAAAAAAGGTCTTTTATCTGTTCAAAACTCTTTACAAAGTGCACTTTAAAGGCATAAATACTGTACAGGGACATGATTAAAAAAAAAATCGTAAATGCACTGAAAACCAATTAATTCGTTCCAGAGGTCAGAAAAAAGTCAAAAAAAGTTTTATCTGTTCAAAACTCTTTATAAAGTGCACTTTAACCGCCTCCCGCCCTCCATATAGTCCAATGACGGGCGCAAGGCGGTTCTCTCGTTCTGGGAGGACATCATATGACGTCCTCCCATTCTCACCGCGCATGCGCGGCTCTGGGTGCACGCAGCTTGGCGTGTCCCTCGGACACAGCGGATCACCGATCCACGGAAAGAGCCGAAGATGTTGGCTCGATCATGTGATCAGCTGTGTCCAATCACAGCTGATCGCATGTAAACAGGGAAATGCAGGTTATTGGCATTTCTCTCCTCTCGAGCCGTCACGCTGACAGAGGAGAGGAGAGGAGAGCCGGTGATCGGCATTCCTCGGAGGGGACATATACACTGACCATCAGGGCACTGATGATCAGGGTGCCCTGATGATCTGTGTAGCCCCAGCAGTGCCACCTGTCAGTGTCCATCAGTGCCAGCTGTCAGTGCCCATCTGAGCTGCCTTTCAGTGTCAACCATCAGTGCCACCTATCAGTGCTGCCAGTCAGTGCCACCTATCAGTGCCAGTCAGTGCCGCCTATCAGTGCCAGTCAGTGCCGCCTATCAGTGTGCATCAGTGCCGCCTATCAATGCCCGTCAGTGCTGCCTAACAGTGCCAGTCAGTGCCGCCTATCAGTGCCACCTATCAGTGCTGTCTTTCAGTGCCCATTAGTGATGCCTGTCAATGCCCATCAGTGCCACCTACCAGTGCCTCCTCATCAGTGCCACCTATCAGTGCAGCCTATCAGTGCCCATCACTGCATCCTCATTAGCGCACATCAGTGAAGGAGAAAAATCACTTATTTACAAAGTTTTATAACAAAAACAAAGAAAAAAAACCAAAATAAAGCTTTATCCGTCACAAAAAAATGCTAAAAATTTCATATGGGTACAGTGTAGCATGACCGCGCAATTGTCATTCAAAGTGTGACAGCGCTGAGAGCTGGAAATTGGCCTGGGGGGGCAAGGGGGTAGAAGTGCCCGGTAGGCAGGAAGGGGGTAGAAGTGCCCTGTAGGCAGGAAGGGGGTAGAAGTGCCCTGTAGGCAGGAAGGGGGTAGAAGTGCCCGGTAGGCAGGAAGGGGGTAGAAGTGCCCTGTAGGCAGGAAGGGGGTAGAAGTGCCCTGTAGGCAGGAAGGGGGTAGAAGTGCCCGTAGGCAGGAAGGGAGTAGAAGTGTCCGGTAGGCAGGAAGGGGGTAGAAGTGCCCAGTAGGCAGGAAGGGGGTAGAAAGTGCCCTGTAGGCAGGAAGGGGGTAGAAGTGCCCTGTAGGCAGGAAGGGGGTAGAAGTGCCCAGTAGGCAGGAAGGGGGTAGAAGTGTCCTGTAGGCAGGAAGGGAGTAGAAGTGTCCGGTAGGCAGGAAGGGGGTAGAAGTGCCCTGTAAGCAGGAAGGGGGTAGAAGTGCCCGGTAGGCAGGAAGGGGGTAGAAGTGCCTGGTAGGCAGGAAGGGGGTAGAAGTGTCCTGTAGGCAGGAAAGGGGTAGAAGTGCCGTGTAGGCAGGAAGGGGGTAGAAGTGCCCGGTAGGCAGGAAGGGGGTAGAAGTACCCTGTAGGCAGGAAGGGGGTAGAAGTGCCCTGTAGGCAGGCAGGGGGTAGAAGTGCCCTGTAGGCAGGAAGGGGGTAGAAGTGCCCTGTAGGCAGGAAGGGGGTAGAAGTGCCCTGTAGGCAGGAAGGGGGTAGAAGTGCCCGGTAGGCAGGAAGGGGGTAGAAGTGTCCTGTAGGCAGGAAGGGGGTAGAAGTGCCCGGTAGGCAGGAAGGGGGTAGAAGTGCCCTGTAGGCAGGAAGGGGGTAGAAGTGCCCTGTAGGCAGGAAGGGGGTAGAAATGCCCTGTAGGCAGGAAGGGGGTAGAAGTGCCCTGTAGGCAGGAAGGGGGTAGAAGTGCCCGGTAGGCAGGAAGGGGGTAGAAGTGCCCTGTAGGCAGGAAGGGGGTAGAAGTGCCCTGTAGGCAGGAAGGGGGGGGGTAGAAGTGCCCTGTAGGCAGGAAGGGGGTAGAAGTGCCCGGTAGGCAGGAAGGGGGTAGAAGTGCCCTGTAGGCAGGAAGGGGGTAGAAGTGCCCTGTAGGCAGGAAGGGGGTAGAAATGCCCTGTAGGCAGGAAGGGGGTAGAAGTGCCCTGTAGGCAGGAAGGGGTAGAAGTGCCCGGTAGGCAGGAAGGGGGTAGAAGTGCCCTGTAGGCAGGAAGGGGGTAGAAGTGCCCTGTAGGCAGGAAGGGGGTAGAAGTGCCCTGTAGGCAGGAAGGGGGTAGAAGTGCCCTGTAGGCAGGAAGGGAGTAGAAGTGTCCGGTAGGCAGGAAGGGGGTAGAAGTGCCCTGTAGGCAGGAAGGGGGTAGAAGTGCCCGGTAGGCAGGAAGGGAGTAGAAGTGCCCTGTAGGCAGGAAGGGGGTAGAAGTGCCCTGTAGGCAGGAAGGGGGTAGAAGTGTCCGGTAGGCAGGAAGGGGGTAGAAGTGTCCTGTAGGCAGGAAGAGGGTAGAAGTGCCCGGTAGGCAGGAAGGGGGTAGAAGTGTCCGGCAGGCAGGAAGGGGGTAGAAGTGTCTGGTAGGCAGGAAGGGGGTAGAAGTGTCCGGTAGGCAGGAAGGGGGTAGAAGTGCCCGGTAGGCAGGAAGGGGGTAGAAGTGTCAGGTGGGCAGGAAGGGGGTAGAAGTGTCCGGCAGGCGAGGGGTTAAAGGCATAAATACTGTACAGGGACGTGGTTAAAAAAAAAAACAATTAATCTGTTCGTATTGCGAAAAAATTTGTAAACCAAAATTATTTTAACCGAGGCGTCCGTACACAGAGTCATTATTTTCGATGGATTTTCATTCGTACCCCGAGTCATTATTTTCGATGGATTTTCATTCGTACCCCGGGGGGGCCGCCTGTAACCGGCTTCCATCATTTATAACAAGTAATGATGAATCTCGTTGATTCGGATTTCCTCGCTTCCTCCGGATCAATTGCAGGTTTCAGATGCTGCGCCAGACCTTGTCCTGAGGGAGCCGACACCCCACAGCAGCTGAATACATCCAGAGGTCTCTGCCATTCTGGGAGCAAGTGAAAGTTTGTAGAGCGCCTCCACAGGAGGTCATCATACAAACTCCATGCAGAAAATGATCCCAGGGCCCCAATGTTGCAAGAAAGAGCTAAGAGCACAGAGCTAGCACTGAAAACGGCTGATATCCAGCAACCAGCTGCAGACATTCTACACACAACCAAAAAAAAGTAAAAAGTACACAAGGTGAGTGCCCCGTCCTCCCGTCCTGCTGACAACTCCCATCTCAGATGTGCTGGCAAATCCCAGCTGTCAAAATGACAGTCAGGAGTTCCCTTGTGAAGCTGTTGATGTCAAAAAAGGTCATATAGGTTTATAAACATTGACCCGAGCAGAAATAGAGAGATACAAAGTAACATTGTTTATAAAGATCGATCAGACGGGGGATGGAGAGATACAAAGTAACATTGTTTATAAACATCGATCAGACGGGAGATAGAGAGATACAAAGTAACATTGTTTATAAACATCGATCAGACGGGAGATAGAGAGACACAAAGTAACATTGTTTATAAACATCGATCAGACGGGGGATGGAGAGATACAAAGTAACATTGTTTATAAACATCGATCAGACGGGAGATAGAGAGACACAAAGTAAGTAACATTGTTTATAAACATCGATCAGACGGGAGATAGAGAGATACAAAGTAACATTGTTTATAAACATCGATCAGACGGGAGATGGAGAGATACAAAGTAACATTGTTTATAAACATCGATCAGACGGGAGATGGGGAGATACGAGGGGGGTGTACAGGAGGGGGGTGTACGGGGGAGAGATGAAGGCTGTGCTTCTACCTGGACATCCTGTCACACACACTCTGATGATCAGATATAGGAGATGGAGGAACTCACCCGCCTGCATCCACGTGCTGTACGCCAGGCTGTAGATGAGGGACTGGAATACGGACCTGGGGGGGGTGGGGGAGGGAGAGCAATAATCCAGGTCATACATTGTACAATCCATCATCCAATCTGTAACTGCACACAATGGCGGCATTATAACCCGACAACGATTAATATTTCATGTATATCCTGCCAGTAAGGGCTCCGGTCCAGGCACTTCCTCCGACTGGGGACTCCCAACTGCTTTCCTACATTGTCAACCCTGTCACATGTTCCCCCCCCCCAGCAGGGACTACAAGAGTCTACACTGACACACACTGTCACATAAGGAGGTCCTCATCATCCCTCTGCACACCTGCTGTGCCCATTATGAGGGGTTCCCACCATCCCTGTGCTGAGTTCCCAGGTCTGTACGCCCACTGTGCCCATTATGAGGGGTTCCCACCATCCCTGTGCTGAGTTCCCAGGTCTCTACACTGGCTGTGCCCATTATGAGGGGTTCCCACCATCCCTGTGCTGAGTTCCCGGGTCTGTACACCCGCTGTGCCCATTATGAGGGGTTCCCACCATCCCTGTGCTGAGTTCCTGGGTCTGTACACCCTCTGTGCCCATTATGAGAGGTTCCCACCATCCCTGTGCTGAGTTCCCGGGTCTGTACACCCTCTGTGCCCATTATGAGAGGTTCCCACCATCCCTGTGCTGAGTTCCTGGGTCTGTACGCCCGCTGTGCCCATTATGAGAGGTTCCCACCATCCCTGTGCTGAGTTCCCGGGTCTGTACGCCCGCTGTGCCCATTATGAGGGGTTCCCACCATCCCTGTGCTGAGTTCCTGGGTCTGTACACTCGCTGTGCCCATTATGAGGGGTTCCCACCATCCCTGTGCTGAGCTCCCGGGTCTGTACACCCGCTGTGCCCATTATGAGGGGTTCCCACCATCCCTGTGTTGAGTTCCCGGGTCTGTACACCCGCTGTGCCCATTATGAGGGGTTCCCACCATCCCTGTGCTGAGCTCCCGGGTCTGTACACCCGCTGTGCCCATTATGAGGGGTTCCCACCATCCCTGCTGGATTTCAATGACTCTATATTATGGAAAATGGAACAGAAGGAGTGAGACCCCCCAGATGGATAGAACTTTGATGAGGACGATGTCATCGCTGGCCCGAGCCGTTACATAGAGGAAGTAGAACTCACCACGCCGCGGCCGATGACAACCACGCCAGGTTCAGGATGTCGCCGATCGTTGGCTACAAAAGAATATAAATCGCTCATCAGAATCCAGAATCCCCGACATTGCGGGAAACACAGCAAAGTGCAGAGAAGTCCCCGGAGATCCCAGAACTGAACTCCTAATTCCCGGGACGGACAGACAACACGCAGGATTTGGGGGGTCTGGATGGTGTCAGCCCTGCCTGGTCGCCTTTTGCTGAACTACTCATCCCCTCCCCCACCCAACACGGAGACCATTCTGGGGGGCGGATCTGACATGAGGAGAAATGACGGAATTCCCCGGCACAGAGCAGAACATCGGAATATCCAAGTAAATGTGAAAAGTATATTACAGTCCCAATGAAGAGCGACTTATGGTGACATCACAGCGCAGAGCCCCTCCCCCATCCGGCTGTATCTGGCAGAACGCCAGGAAAATCGAATATAATGTTTGCTGACTTCAGCAGAGTCACCTCTATCTCTTGGTACACTAAGTGGGTCTCAAAACTAATGAGATTCTAATGTAAGGGGGGACTCTGACGGGGATATTGATATAAGGGGGACTCTGATGTAAGGGGGGGTTGGATGGAGACTTTGATGTAAGGGGGTGCACTGATGTAAGTGGGGACATTGATGTAAGGGGAATTCTAGAGTAAGGGGGACTCTGATGTAAGGGGGGGTTGGATGGAGAGTTTGATGTAAGGGGGTGCTCTGATGTAAGGGGGGACATTGATGTAAGAGAGCTCTGATGGAGACTTTGATGTAAGGGGAATTCTAGAGTAAGGGGGACTCTGATGTAGGGAAGACCTTAATGGGGACTCTGATGGGGATCTTGATATAAGAGGGACTGTGATAGGGACTCTGATGTAAAGAGGCTCAGATGGGGACTTTGATGTAAGAGGGTGCTCTAATGCAAGTGGCTACATTGATGTAAGGGTGCTGTGATTGGGGACTTTGATGTGTTTGTGTGAGGGGGGGGGATTATAATGCAAGGGGGACTCTGACAAGGACTCTGATGTAGGGATGATTCTTATGTAAGTGATGTAAGTGGGGCTGTGATTGGTACTCAGATGTAAGGGGGCTCAGATGGGGACTTTGATGTAGGGGGATTCTAATGTAAGGGGGACTCTGATGGAGATCTTGATATAATAGGGAATGTGATAGGGACTCTGATGTAAAGGGGCTTTCTGCTGTAAGGGAGACTCTGATGTAAGTGAGGGCTCTAATGTAAGTGGGGACATTGATATAAGGGGGGATTTTGATGTAAGGGGACTCTGATGGGGACTTCGATATGGGGGGGTGGATTACAATGTAAGGGGGACTTCGACAGGGACTCTGATGTAGGGATGACTTTGATGGCGACTCTTATGTAAGTAATGATCCTGACATAATGGGGGACTCTAATGTAAGTGGGGACATTGATGTAAGGGAGTTGTGAATGGGGACTTTGATGGGGGGAGGGGCTATAAATGTAAGGGGAACTCCCAACAGGGACTCTGATGTAAAGGGATGACTTTGATGGGGGCTGTGATGTAAGGGGGCACTCTTATGGGGACCCTGTTTTGGGGGGGACTCTGATTTAAGGGGGAAATCTAATAGGGACTCTGAAGGTTACTAAGCTGAACCCAGGAAAAGTCAGAAATCGTTCCTCCTGGAGTTCCCCTTTACCTTCAGAGGATCTGATGTCCCGCACGTCATATCGCACCTCCCAGCGCATGCGCTCCCCGTGACTGCTGATCATGTACACTGGGGGGCGCCGTCCCTCATATCAGGGAAGGATCCATAATAACCAGCATGCCACATACTGCACTTACCACGAAGATCCCCCGGGGGGCGGCACCTTTGTTGCTCTCAGTTTTGGGGGCGCACAGGGACTGGTAGTCGTAGGATTCTTTCCTCATGAAGAAGGAACTGTTGTAGAGAGCGGACATGAGATTGGGGTCCACCTCACTGAAGAACTTCCCCACCTGAGGAGAGACGTTACATTGTGTCCTGTGACTTCATACAACGCTACATTGTTCCAGCTTGGACCAACTATGTATACATTGTGTCTGCGGATGCCCCTGGAAGAGGGAAATCAGAGGTAGACACCACTACTGCACCACTACACTACTACTACTACTACACCACTACTACTACTACATCACTACTGCTACTACACCACTACTACACCACTACTACACCACTACTACACTGCTACTACACCGCTACTACACCACTGCACCACTACACCACTACTACACTGCTACTACACCACTACACCACTACTACTACACTGCTACTACTGCACCACTACTACTACACCACTACTACACTGCTACACCACTACTGCACCACTACACCACTACTACACTGCTACTACACCACTACACCACTACTACTACACTGCTACTACTGCACCACCATACTACACCACTACTACACTGCTACACCACTACTACTACACCACTACTACTGCACCACTACTGCACCACTACACTACTACTACTACACCACTACTGCTACTACACCACTACTACTACATCACTACTGCTACTACACCACTACTGCACCACTACTGCACCAAACTACACTACTACTACTACACCACTACACTACTACTACTACACTGCTACTACTGCACCACTACTACACCACTACTACACTGCTACACCACTACACCACTGCTACTACTACACTACTACACTGCTACTACAACCACTACTACACCACTACTACACTACTACACCACTACTGCACCACCACTACTACTACACCACTACTACTACACCACTACTACCACTACTACTACCACTACACACCACTACTACACCACTACTACACCACTACACCACTACTACACCACTACTACTACACCCACTACTACACACTACACCACTACTACACCACTACTACTACACCACTACACCACTACTACTACACTGCTACACCCACTACTACACCACTACTACTACACCACTACACCACTACTACACACCACTACTACACCACACTACTACTACACCCACTACTAACACCACTACTGCACCACTACTACACACACTACTACTACACTGCTACTACTGCACCACTACACCACTACTACACCACTACTACACCACTACTACACACACTACTACACTGCTACTACTGCACCACTACACCACTTCTACACTGCTACTACATTGCTACTACACTGCTACTACTGCACCACTACACCACCACTGCTACTACACCACTGCTACACCACTACTACTACACCACTACTACACTGCTACACTACTACTACACTAACTACCACTACTACACTGCTACACCCCACTGCTACTACACCACTACTACACTGCTACACCACTACTACTACACCACTGCTACTACACCACTACTACACCACTACTGCACCACTACACCACTGCTACTACACCACTACTACTACACTGCTACTACACTACTACTACACCACTGCTACTACACCACTACTACACTGCTACTACACTACTACTACACCACTGCTACTACACCACTACTACTACACAGCTACTACACCACTACTACACCACTACTGCACCACTACACCACTGCTACTACACCACTACACCACTGCTACTACACTGCTACTACACCACTACTACACTGCTACTACACTACTACTACACCACTACACCCTACTGCTACTACTACACCACTACTACACTGCTACTACACTACTACACCACTACTTCACCACTACACCACTGCTACTACACCACTACTACACTACTACTACACCACTACTGCCACCACTACACCACTGCTACTACACCACTACTACACTGCTACTACACTACTACTACACCACTACCCACAATTACACCACTGCTACTACACCACTACTACACTGCTACTACACCCACTACTACACTGCTACACCACTACTGCATCACTACACCACTGCTACTACACTAAACACTACACCACTGCTACTACACCACTACTACACCACTACTACACTGCTACTACACTACTACTACCACCACTACTGCACCACTACACCACTGCTACTACACCACCACTACTACACTAAAAAACTACACCACCTACTACACAATTACACCACTGCTACTACTACTACACTGCTACTACACCACTACTACACTGCTACTACACCACTACTACACTGCTACTACACTACTACACCACAACTACTACACTGCTACCACCACTACTACTGCACCACTACACCACTACTACACTGCTACTACACCCCCTACTACCACCTACTACTACTACACTGCTACTACTGCACCACTACTACACCACTACTACACTGCTACAACCACTACTGCACCACTACACCACTACTACTACTACACTGCTACTACACCACTACACCACCCTACACTACACTACTACTACTACACACCACTACTACACTACTACACTACTACACTGCTACACCACACTACACTACTACAACCACTACTACACCACTACTGCACCACTACACTACTACTAACACAACAATACACTACTACTGCTACTACTACACACCACTACTACAACCCTCACTACTGCTACTACAAACACTACTAACACCACTACTGCACCACTACACTACCACTACTACACCACTACTACACCACTACACTACTACTACTACACTGCTACTACTGCACCACTACTACACCACTACTACCCACTACTACACCCTACTACACCACTGCTACTACACCACTACTACACTGCTACTACTAACCACTACTACACCACTACTACACTGCTACACCACTACTGCACCACTACTACACCACTACTACTACCACACACTACACCACTACTACACCACCACTACACCACTACTACTACTACAACCACTACACCACTACTACACCACTACTACTACACCACTACCTACACCACTACTACACCACTACTACTACACCACTACACCACTACTACTACACTGCTACACCACTACTACACCACTACTACTACACTACTACACCCTACCACTACACCTAACACCTTACTACTACACCAACTACTACACCACTACTGCACCACTACTGCACCTACTACTACACCCACTACTACTACACTGCTACTACTGCACCACTACACCACTACTACACCACTACTACACCACTACTACACCACTACTACACTACTACTACTGCACCACTACACCACTTCTACACTGCTACTACACTTGCTACTACACTGCTACTACTGCAAACCACTACTGCACTGCTACTACACCACTACTACACTGCTACTACCACACTACTAAACTAACTACTACTACACCACTACTACACTGCTACACCACTGCTACTACACCACTACTACACTGCTACACCACTACTACTACACCACTGCTACTACACCACTACTACACTGCTACTACACCACTACTACACCACTACTGCACCACTACACCACTGCTACTACACCACTACTACACTGCTACTACACTACTACTTCACCCCCACTACACCACTGCTACTACACCACTACTACACTACTACTTCACCACTACACCACTGCTACTACACCACTACTACACTGCTACTACACTACTACTACACTACTACTGCACAATTACACCACTGCTACTACACCACTACTACACTGCTACTACACCACTACTACACTGCTACACCCCACTACTGCATCACTACACCACTGCTACTACACACTACTACCCACTGCTACTACACCACTACTACACCACTACTACACTGCTACTACACTACTACTACACTACACCACTACTGCACCACTACACCACACTGCTACTACACCACTACTACACCACTACTGCACAATTACACCACTGCTACTACTACACTGCTACTACAAACCACTACAACACCACTACACCACTACTGCACCACTACTGCATCACTACACCACTACTACTACTACACCACTACTACACTGCTACTACACTACTACTACACACTACTGCACCACTACACCACTGCTACTACACCACTACTACTACTACACCACTACTACACTACTACACTGCTACTACACTACTACTACACCACTACTGCACCACTACACCACTGCTACTACACCACTACTACACTGCTACTACACTACTACTACACCACTACTGCACGATTACACCACTGCTACTACTACACTGCTACTACACCACTACTACTACTACACCACTACACTACTACTACTACACCACTACTACACTACTACTACACCCACTACTGCACAATTACACCACTGCTACTACTACACCACTACTGCACCACTACTACACTGCTACTACACCACTACTACACTACTACTACCCCACTACTATACCAGTAATGCACTGCTACTACTATTACACTGCTACTACACCACTACTGCACCACTACTGCACCCCTACAACACCACTACTGCACCACTACTATTACACTGCTACTACACCACTACTACACAACTACTGCACTGCTACTACATCACTAAACTGCTAATATACCACTACTATACTACTACACCACTACTGCATCACTACACCACTGCTACTACACCACTACTACACTGCTACTACACTACTACTACACCACTACTGCACGATTACACCACTGCTACTACTACACTGCTACTACACCACTACTACACTACTACTACACCACTACTATACCAGTAATGCACTGCTACTACTATTACACTGCTACTACACCACTACTGCACCCCTACAACACCACAACTACTGCACTGCTACTACATCACTAAACTGCTGCTATACCACTACTACACTGCTACTACACTGCCTTTGGGCACTGCAGGTCACTACATGAGGTTGAGGAGCTTTATATAAGCTTGGAGTCTGTGGGAAGCTGGTAGGTACTGTGGGGGTTATGGGTTCTCAGGGGGGGGAGGGGGGGGGCACTGAGGGGCACTAAGGGGGGCTGGGGGGCACTATGGAAGCTTGGAGGAGCTGTGAGAAGTTGGGCGGCACTATGGAAGCTGAAGGTTCTCTGGGGGCCACTGTGGCCCCTATGGGAGGTTGGAGGATGGTGTAGGACACCGTTGGAGGTTGGGGACACTATGGAGGACTAGAAGCTCTGCAGCATAGAGGGAGATTGGGAGACACTGTGAAGGCTGAGGGCTCTAGGGGGCCTTTGGGCACTGGGGGCCACTATGTGAGGTTGGAGGGCTTTCTAGAAGCTTGGAGACTATGGGAAGTTGGGAGGCACTATGGAGGTTGTTGGTTCTCAGGGAGCCCAGGTGCACTCTGGGAGGTTGATTGGCACTAGGGAAGCTCGGAGGCACTGTGGGAAGTTGGGAGGCACTATGGTAACTGAAGGTTCTTTGGTGGCCTGGGGGCACTGTGGGCCACTATGGGAGGTTGGAGGATGCTGTAGGACACTGTTGCAGGTTGGGGACACTATGGAGGACTAGAGGCTCTGCAGAACGCTGGGCCACAGCGGTAGGTTGGGAGACACTGTGAAGGCTGCTCTAGGGGGCTTTTGGGCACTGTGGGCCACTATGTGAGGTTGGAGGGCTTTCTAGAAGCTTGGAGAATATGGGACGTTGGGAGGCACTATGGAGGTTGTTGGTTCTCAGGGGGCCCAGGGCACTCTGGGAGGTTGAGTATCACCAGGGAAACTTGGAGGCACTGTGGGAAGTTGGGAGGCACTATGGAAACTGAAGGTTCTTAGGTGGCCTGGGGGCACTGTGGGCCACTACGGGGGGTTGGAGGATGCTGTAGGACACTGTTGCAGGTTGGGGACACTATGGAGGACTAGAGGCTCTGCAGCAGGCTGGGCGGCACTGTGGGAGGTTGGAGGCACTGGGGGCATTGTAGGCCTCCCCGTACTATATGCTGTCCCCACATGTTCAGCATGCTTGCCGGGGACCGAAGCATTATGGTCATCCGATGTAATCATCTGCTGGAAAACGTGAGCCTCCAACATGGATGAACGTTTACGGCCTCCGGTACAGACTCCTTTAATGATGGGTCAAGGGTGCAACTAACTGGGACCTGCCTGATGGAAGAGCTCCAAGAACACAAAGAAGTCTGGCGTGAATGGTTTCCAAGGACATGAGTGTGGGAGCCTAGACAGAAGATCCCCTCCCCCATCTCTTCATCACCTCATCTTGGCCCCTCCTTCCCTTCTTCTGTAATTAGAATTTATGTATCTATTTATAAATAGCCCCCAAATCTAACTGTCCTTCCTTACATCAAGGCACCCCCCCCCCCGAACACACCATGTTCTCCAACAGGCATGCCTAGATCCTTCTACATGGTGCAAAGTCAGGAAATTAGAGAAAGTTAGAAAACACTGACCTGGGACCAGTGGTCCTGCTGGTTGGACATGACGAGGAACCCACCATCATCAATCAGGACGCACAGTAGATCCTGCAGAGAGAAGACGCATGACACATCTTCGGCCCTAAACACGGAAGTAACGGGGGGGACCAAGATCGTTTCTGAGCAACGGGAGAGTGACACAGACTGGACTTGGACCTCAACTATCCAAATTTCTGGTGCAAACACCAACACGTAAGCAGGCTGTGTAGACCTGACTACCTCTCAAGCTGGCCGTACGCCTTACATTTTGGTGCCGTGACCCGGACTAAGTGACCATTAATACGATTCCCACAGACACGCTCCAACAGCGAGTGGAGGATGGTATGGCCAAAAAGGGGGGACCAACTCCAAGTTACCGGCCACGAGGAAAGGAGCGGGGCTACTTGAAGGACACGGTTGTGGATTGGGACGCTCTACCAGCCTGTAGAGGTGTGATGGAGAGTTGTCCACCAATTGCTGGCCATGTTGTGTGCTTTTCATACTCCTCAATGATTACATTGGACAACATTTCCGTGCCATGAGCTGGACTAATGGTTGGTAATAGGACTTACGACACACCACAACGGCCATCCAACATTTGCCCTCTTGGCCGCACCATGCCAAGCCCCCGTGCCGAGGTCTGAAAACTGGGTCCAACTACTTTCCAAAAACCTGTCTGTTCCTGCACTTCTCAGGAGCGGCTCAGTCACTCTATACCTATTCAATCCACCGGGAATTGCCGATACGACGGCAAGTAATCACCAGTTCATCACCGACGAGTCCCAACGGCCACCCATCATTTGCCCTCTTGGCCGCACCATGCCAAGCCCCCGTGCCGAGGTCCAAAAACTGGGTCCAACTACTTTCCAAAAACCTGTCTGTTCCTGCACTTCTCAGGAGCGGCTCAGTCAAATCTAAAACCTATTCAATCCACCGGGAATTGCCGATACGACGGAAAGTAATCACCACTTCATCACCGACGAGTCCCTAAGGCCATCCAACATTTGCCCTCTTGGCCGCACCATGCCAAGCCCCCGTGCCGAGGTCTGAAAACTGGGTCCAACTACTTTCCAAAAACCTGTCTGTTCCTGCACTTCTCAGGAGCGGCTCAGTCACTCTATACCTATTCAATCCACCGGGAATTGCCGATACGACGGCAAGTAATCACCACTTCATCACCGACGAGTCCCATCGGCCACCAGAACTCGGTCCATTGGGACGATGGAATGGCAAACAAATTCACAGCTTCGAAAATGGAAAAATTTGCAACCGTTTTGTCAAACGTGATCAGATCGGGGCAATTTAAATCCCGCGTTTTGGCGGCGGATCAAAACCGTGTCTTCAATTGCTTTGTGATTTTGCCGGAAAAAAAAAGAATTGAACGCGCGATCGCGCTAGCCAAGATTGCCCCTTGTATGGCCAGCTGTAACGCGTCCCGTCAAGGTCGTCGGTTCTACACAATGCCGTGTATTTGCGGAGAACAGGGGCGGACTAACAACTCATGGGGCCCCCCAGGCTATAGGGGATCATGGGGCCCCTGTGTCCTCGCCCACACTCAAAAAAGCCTATGAAAGGTACCAGGGGCATTTCATGGGGCCCCCTACTGACCCTGGGCCCTCAGGCAGTGCCCGAGTTCCCGAATGGTCAGTCTGCCCCTGACGGAGAACATTATGTATTATCTGTATTCTCTATTTCAGGTACTTCTATATCGCCGTCAGTTTACGCCGCGCTTTATATATATACAGTGGGGATGGAAAGTTTGGGCACCCCAGCTAAAAATGTGTATTAATGTGCATAAAGAAGCCAAGGAAAGATGGAAAAATCTCCAAAAGGCATCAAATTACAGATTAGACATTCTTATAATATGTCAACAAAAGTTAGATTTTATTTCCATCATTTACACTTTCAAAATAACAGAAAACAAAAAAATGGCATCCCCAAAAGTTTGGGCACCCTGCAGAATTTATAGCATGCACTGCCCCCTTTGCCAAGCTGAGACCTGCCAGTGTCATGGATTGTTCTCAATCATCGTCTGGGAGACCAGGTGATGTCATTCTCAAAGGTTTTAAATGCCCCGACTCATCTGACCTTGCCCCAACAATCAGCACCATGGGTTCTTCTAAGCAGTTGTCTAGAAAACTGAAACTGAAAATAGTTGACGCTCACAAAGCTGGAGAAGGCTATAAGAAGATAGCAAAGCGTTTTCAGATGTCAATATCCTCTGTTCGGAATGTCATTAAGAAATGGCAGTCATCAGGAACAGTGGAAGTTAAAGCAAGATCTGGAAGACCAAGAAAAATATCAGACAGAACAGCTCGCAGGATTGTGAGAAAAACAATTCAAAACCCACGTTTGACTGCACGATCCCTCCAGAAAGATCTGGCAGACACTGGAGTTGTGGTCACTATTCCACTATAAAGAGATACTTGTACAAATATGGTCTTCATGGAAGAAAACCTCTTTTCATCAGAAGAAAACCTCTTCTACGTCCTCACCACAAAAATCATCGTTTGAACTTTTGCAAATGAACATATAGACTCAAGCCTGATGCATTTTGGAAACAAGTTCTGTGGACCGATGAGGTTAAAATTGAACTTTTTGGCCGGAATGAGCAAAGGTACGTTTGGAGAAGAAGGGGCACAGAATTTAATGAAAAGAACCTCTGTCCAACTGTGAAGCATGGGGTTGGATCAATCATGCTTTGGGGTTGTGTTGCAGCCAGTGGCACAGGGAACATCTCACGAGTAGAAATAAAAATGGATTCAATAAAATTTCAGCAAATTTTGGATGGTAACTTGATGTCATCTGTGAAAAAGCTGAAGTTAAAGAGAGGATGGCTTCTACAAATGGATAATGATCCTAAACACACCTCGAAATCCACGGGGGATTACATCAAGAGGCGTAAACTGAAGGTTTTGCCATGGCCTTCACAATCTCCTGACCTCAACAGAAAATCTATGGATAGACCTTAAAAGAGCCGTGCGTGACAGACAGCCCAGAAATCTCAAAGAACTGGAAGACTTTTGTAAGGAAGAATGGGCAAAGATACCTCAAACAAGAATTGGAAGACTCTTGGCTGGCTACAAAAAGCGTTTACAAGCTGTGATACTTGCCAAAGGGGGCAGTACAAGATATTAACTCTGCAGGGGGCCCAAACTTTTGCAGACGCCATTTTTTTGTTTTCTGTTATTTTGAAAGTGTAAATGATGGAAATAAAATGTAACTTTTGTTGACATATTATAAGAATGTCTAATCTGTAATTTGATGCCTTTTGGAGATTTTTCCATCTTTCCTTGGCTTCTTTATGCACATTAATACACATTTTTAGCTGGGGTGCCCAAACTTTCCATCCCCACTGTATATATTGTACATTAACATCAGTCCCCGCCCCCGAGGAGCGTACAATCTAAGGTGCCTAACTATCATTCATACATACACATACTAGGGCCTATTTAGACAGGAGAAAATTCATTTCCCAGCATGTCTTTGGAGTGTGGGAGGAAACCGGAGTACCCGGAGGAAACCAACGCAGGCACAGGGAGAACATGCAAACTCCAGGCAGGTGGATGATGGTGTATGGGTCGGTAAATGCCGATGTTAAATTTTATGCATTGGGTCCGCTACAGGATGACCTCAGAGAAGGCGGAGCTCGTCAGGAAAATCACACCCCCTGATGATGTCATGCGCACACAGACGCCACTCACCTCGTTGTTGATGTCGCAGTCCATCTCACAGCTCGCCGAGGGACTGCACTGCTGAGGAGAACAAAAGACGTTAGAAATCCTAGAAAACGCAGCACAGTCAGCTTCATGAACCTGGTTTCCTCTGATCTCAGGGAGTACAGCATAGGCAATACATGATATTACACCTGGCTCCCTCTGATCTCAGGGAGTACAGCATAGGCACTGCATGACTTACACCTGGCTCCCTCTGATCTCAGGGAGTACAGCATAGGCACTGCATGACTTACACCTGGCTCCCTCTGATCTCAGGGAGTACAGCATAGGCAATGCATGACATTACACCTGGCTCCCTCTGATCTCAGGGAGTACAGCATAGGCAATGCATGACATACACCTGGCTTCCTCTAATCTCAGGGAGTACAGCATAGGCAATGCATGACATTACACCTGGCTTCCGCTGATCTCAGGGAGTACAGCATAGGCAATGCATGTCTTACACCTGGCTTCCTCTGATCTCAGGGAGTACAGCATAGGCAATGCATGTCTTACACCTGGCTCCCTCTGATCTCAGGGAGTACAGCATAGGCACTGCATGACTTACACCTGGCTTCCTCTGATCTCAGGGAGTACAGCATAGGCAATGCATGACTTACACCTGGCTTCCTCTGATCTCAGGGAGTACAGCATAGGCAATGCCTGACATTACACCTGGCTCCCTCTGATCTCAGGGAGTACAGCATAGGCAATGCATGACATTACACCTGGCTCCCTCTGATCTCAGGGAGTACAGCATAGGCAATGCATGACATTACACCTGGCTCCCTCTGATCTCAGGGAGCACAGCATAGGCAATGCATGACATTACACCTGGCTTCCTCTGATCTCAGGGAGTACAGCATAGGCAATGCATGACATTACACCTGGCTTCCTCTGATCTCAGGGAGTACAGCATAGGCAATGCATGTCTTACATCTGGCTTCCTCTGATCTCAGGGAGTACAGCATAGGCAATGCATGTCTTACATCTGGCTTCCTCTGATCTCAGGGAGTACAGCATAGACAATGCATGACATTACACCTGGCTTCCTCTGATCTCAGGGAGTACAGCATAGACAATGCATGACATTACACCTGGCTTCCTCTGATCTCAGGGAGTACAGCATAGGCAATGCATGACATTACACCTGGCTTCCTCTGATCTCAGGGAGTACAGCATAGGCAATGCATGACTTTACACCTGGCTCCCTCTGATCTCAGGGAGTACAGCATAGGCAATGCATGTCTTACACCTGGCTTCCTCTGATCTCAGGGAGTACAGCATAGGCAATGCATGTCTTACACCTGGCTTCCTCTGATCTCAGGGAGTACAGCATTGACAATGCATGACATTACACCTGGCTTCCTCTGATCTCAGGGAGTACAGCATAGACAATGCATGACATTACACCTGGCTCCTCTGATCTCAGGGAGTACAGCATAGACAATGCATGACATTACACCTGGCTTCCTCTGATCTCAGGGAGCACAGCATAGGCAATGCATGTCTTACACCTGGCTTCCTCTGATCTCAGGGAGTACAGCATAGGCAATGCATGACTTTACACCTGGCTCCCTCTGATCTCAGGGAGTACAGCATAGGCAATGCATGTCTTACACCTGGCTCCCTCTGATCTCAGGGAGTACAGCATAGGCAATGCATGACTTTACACCTGGCTCCCTCTGATCTCAGGGAGTACAGCATAGGCAATGCATGACATTACACCTGGCTCCCTCTGATCTCAGGGAGTACAGCATAGGCAATGCATGTCTTACACCTGGCTTCCTCTGATCTCAGGGAGTACAGCATAGGCACTGCATGACATTACACCTGGCTCCCTCTGATCTCAGGGAGTACAGCATAGGCAATGCATGACATTACACCTGGCTCCCTCTGATCTCAGGGAGTACAGCATAGGCAATGCATGACATTACACCTGGCTCCCTCTGATCTCAGGGAGTACGCATAGGCAATGCATGACATTACACCTGGCTTCCTCTGATCTCAGGGAGTACAGCATAGGCACTGCATGACATTACACCTGTCTTCCTCTGATCTCAGGGAGCACAGCATAGGCAATGCATGACATTACACCTGGCTCCCTCTGATCTCAGGGAGTACAGCATAGGCAATGCATGTCTTACACCTGGCTTCCTCTGATCTCAGGGAGTACAGCATAGGCAATGCATGACTTACACCTGGCTTCCTCTGATCTCAGGGAGTACAGCATAGGCAATGCATGTCTTACACCTGGCTCCCTCTGATCTCAGGGAGTACAGCATAGGCAATGCATGACATTACACCTGGCTCCCTCTGATCTCAGGGAGCACAGCATAGGCACTGCATGACATTACACCTGGCTTCCTCTGATCTCAGGGAGTACAGCATAGGCAATGCATGACATTACACCTGGCTTCCATTACAATTTTCAATGCAATCCAACCAGAACTAGAAGGATCCTCCAATGGCATTGCAGGATGACATGGAGATGGCAGTTGAGGGTGTGGCCGAGCACGACTGTCTGCCTCCACCATGGCGCCATGTGAAGCACCTCGGGCCCTTGCTGTGTCTCTGTTAGTTTTTTTTTTCCATACTTGTCTCTTTCTTTACAGGTCAGTAGAGAGGAAACGTGTGACATTAGAAGTGCGATTCACAAGAAGCAGAACTCACTGGACCGGCCTTCCTGGCCCCGTGTAATGTGGAGGAACATTGGAAATGTCAGCCTAGGGAGCCACGGCTAATAATGACACATCTACGGCTCGTGGCACACCGGCGGGGGCAGGGAGATGAGATCAGACAGCCGTGACCGATCTGCACCACACAACGATCTTCCTTCACTTTACTGAGATTATTATAATAATGAGAATAGATAGAAAGACGGAGAAGATCACGTTGGTGGTTGTTGGAGAAATGATCTCTTCCATTGGTGGTCAGTGTGAAAGGGGCCCCCTGAACTGATGGACACTAGGAGAGGGGCTTCCATTATAAATGTGGTCAGTGGGGAGAATGTCCCTTACATTGGGGGTCAGTGGGAAGAATGTCCCTTACATTGGGGGTCAGTGGGAAGAATGTCCCTTACATTGGGGGTCAGTGGGAAGAACGTCCCTTACATTGGGGATCAGTGGGAAGAATGTCCCTTACATTGGTGATCATGGGAAAAATGTCCCCTTACATTGGGGGGGTCAGTGGGAAAAATGTCCCTTACATTGGGGGGTCAGTGGGAAAAATGTCCCTTACATTGGGGGTCAAAGAATGTCCCTTACATTGGGGGTCAGTGGGAAGAATGTCCCTTACATTGGGGGTCAGTGGGAAGAATGTCCCTTACATTGGGGGGTCAGTGGGAAGGGGGTCAGTGGGAAGAATGTCCCTTACATTGGGATCAGTGGGAAGAATGTCCCTTACATTGGGGTCAGTGGGAAAATGTCCCTTACATTGGTGGTCAGTGGGAAGAATGTCCCTTACATTGGGGGTCAGTGGGAAGAATGTCCCTTACATTGGGGGTCAGTGGGAAGAATGTCCCTTACATTGGGGGTCAGTGGGAAGAATGTCCCTTACATTGGGGTCAGTGGGAAGAATGTCCCTTACATTGGAGGTCAGTGGGAAGAATGTCCCTTACATTGGGGGTCAGTGGGAAAGAATGTCCCTTACATTGGGGGTCAGTGGGAAGAATGTCCCTTACATTGGGGGTCAGTGGGAAGAATGTCCTTTACATTGGAGGTCAGTGGGAAGAATGTCCCTCACATTGGTGGTCAGAGGGAAGAATGTCCATTACATTGGGGGTCAGTGGGAAGAATGTCCCTCACATTGGAGGTCAGTGGGAAGAATGTCCCTTACATTGGTGATCAGTGGGAAGAATGCCCCTTACATTGGGGGTCAGTGGGAAGAATGTCCCTTACATTGGTGATCAGTGGGAAAAATGTCCCTTACATTGGGGGGTCAGTGGGAAAAATGTCCCTTACATTGGGGGTCAGTGGGAAGAATGTCCTTACTTGGGGGTCAGTGGGAAGAATGTCCCTTACATTGGTGGTCAGTGGGAAGAATGTCCCTTACATTGGGGGGGGAAGAATGTCAGTGGGAAGAATGTCCCTTACATTGGTGATCAGTGGGAAAAATGTCCCTTACATTGGGGGGTCAGTGGGAAAAAAATGTCCCTTACATTGGGGGTCAGTGGGAAGAATGTCCCTTACATTGGGGGTCAGTGGGAAGAATGTACCTTACATTGGGGGTCAGTGGGAAGAATGGTCCCTTACATTGGTGGTCAGTGGGAAGAATGTCCCTTACATTGGGGGGTCAGTGGGAAGAATGTCCCTTACATTGGTGATCAGTGGGAAGAATGCTCCTTACATTGGTGGTCAGTGGGAAGAATGTCCCTTACATTGGGGGTCAGTGGGAAAGAATGTCCCTTACATTGGGGGTCAGAGGAAAGAATGTCCCTTACATTAGTGATCAGTGGGAAGAATGTCCCTTACATTGGTGGTCGGTGGGAAGAATGTCCCTTACATTGGGAGTCAGTGGGAAGAATGTCCCTTACATTGGTGATCAGTGGGAAGAAATGTCCTTTACATTGGTGGTCAGGTGGGAAGAATGTCCCTTACATTGGGGATCAGTGGGAAGAATGTCCCTTACATTGGTGGTCAGTGGGAAGAAGGAGTCCCTTACATTGGTGGTCAGTGGGGAAGAATGTCCCTTACATTGGGGGGTCAGTGGGAAGAATGTCCCTTACATTGGGGTGCGTCAGTGGGGAGAATGTCCCTTACATTGGTGGTCAGAGGGAAGAATGTCCCTTACATTGGTGGTCAGTGGGAAGAAATGTCCTTACATTGGTGGTCAGTGGGAAGAATGTCCCTTACATTGGGGGTCAGTGGGAAGAATGCCCTTACATTGGTGTGATCAGTGGGAAAAAATGTCCCTTACATTGGGTGGTCAGTGAGAAGAATGTCCCTTACAATTGGGGGGTCAGTGGGAAGAATGCCCCTTACATTGGTGGTCAGTGAGAAGGAATGTCCCTTACATTGGGGGTCAGTGGGAAGAATGCCTTACATTGGTGGTCAGTGAGAAGAATGTCCCTTACATTGGGGGGTCAGTGGGAAGAATGCCCCTTACATTGGTGGTCAGTGAGAAGAAATGTCCCTTACATTGGGGGGTCAGTTGGGAAAAATGTCCCTTACATTGGGGGTCAGTGGGAAGAAATAGTCCCTTACATTGGGGGGGAATCAGTGGGAAGAATGTCCCTTACATTTGGGGGTCAGTGGAAGAATGTCCCTTACATTGGGGGTCAGTGGGAAGATGGAAGAATGTCCCATTACATTGGAGGTCAGTGGGAAGAATGTCCCTTACATTGGTGATCAGTGGGAAGAATGTCCCTTACATTGGGGGGTCCCTAGTGGGAAGAATGTCCCTTACATTGGGGGTCTCACCATTGGGTGGGAAGGATTGTCCCTTACATTGGGGGTCAGTGGGGAAGAATGAATGTCCCTTACATTGGGGGTCAGTGGGATGAATGTCCATTACATTGGGGATTAGTGGGAAGAATGTCTCTTACATTGGGGGTCAGTGGAAGAATGTCCCTTACATTGGTGGTCAGTGGGAGAATGTCCCTTACATTGGTGGTCCAGTGGGAGAAGTATGTCCCATACATTGGGGGTCAGTGGGAAGAATGTCCCTTACATTGGGGGTCAGTGGGAGAATGTCCCTTAATGTGACTCTTCGTTGTCTTTAATAAAAGTTACATTTTTTCTAGTAAATAATTGTGGGCTCTCGTTGAGCTTTATTTAACCATAATTTAATTTTTGTTCATTTCTTCCTTTTTTTCCTTTTTCATTCATGAATATTTAAAACTTGCAGTAGTTGTTTTTTTTGTATCGCTGCCTTTGAATAAATATATGGTTTGTGCTAGAAAATATAAATTTTATAGAGATTTTATAAAAGAGATAAATTGTCAATAAAATCTCACTGTTGATGATCTGGGTAAAGCAGTTTAGTCCCCAAATGGAAGAACAAAATATGATCATTTTAATGGAATTTGTACTCATTGAGAAGGACTGAGATCACGCTGGTTCAACCCCATCCTATCACCTCCCCCATCCTCAGCTGGATTTGGGGG